CCCAACCCCAGGCCCAAACACCCGCCCCAGCTGCCCAACCACCCCAACAGACATGGGCTCCTGTGAGCGAAGGTGAGTCCTCCGCAGTGGAGGCCCCCGAGGTGGGGGGGTGGTGGCGGGGAAGTGGGCGGGGCCAATCTCCCTTGGCAGGCATTACGGCCAACGGGACGGCACCCCTGGGAGAGCTGGGCCCCGTGAGATTGGGGAATTTGCACCTGGAGCCAGGGGTTGCAAAATGGCTAAACTTGGACCCTGGGCCCAGCTTGTTCCTTGCTGTGTGACCTCAAGCAGGTTATTAAACTTATCTGGGCCACAAGTTCCTTGAGTGGGAAAGCTGAATAATAATAGAATCTATCTTATTGGGATATGGTATTAAAACCATATCAAGTCCTTCCCCTAGGACTCCCCGACTGCATAGTAAGCCCTCAGAAGCTGTTGTGTTAGTTATCATAGCTGCTTCTGTTTTTAGCCCAAGAGCATTGTTGCTGAGCAGGAGGCTTGAGCCTGTCTGCCCGATGACTTGTTGAGTGACTCAGGATAAATTCCCTCTCCTGCGCGAGCCTTTGTCTTCCCAGCCATGAAGATATTAATTATACCTCCTTTATAGAATTGTGATGGAAATTCTGAGATAGTGAATTTAGTGCTTTAGAAGCACTGCAGCACAGAATAAAATAGAAGATTTGACTCTTGGCAGGAATTTTTTGCCTAAGATCTTAGAAAAGAAAATTCTTCTGTTTTTGTTTTTTTTCCATACCGGGAATCAAACTCACAACCTTGCACTTGCCAGGCAGGTGCTGTGCTGCTGAGCTAAATCTCCAGCCCCCAGGAAAGAAAATTCTTAGGATCTTAGAAAGTCCAATCTATTGTGGTTGATGAGACTACAGATTTTGGCCAGGCTTAGTGGCACCTGCCTATAATCATAGCACTTTGGGAGGCTGAGGCAGGAGGATTGCAATTTGAAACCCAGCCTGGGCAACTTAGTGACTTAAGACCCTGTCTCAAAACACTAAATAAAAAAAAGGGCTGGAGGTGTAGCTCAGTGTAGAAGATTGGGGTTCAATCCCCATTACCTAAAAAAGAAAACCAAACAAAAAACCAAAACTAGAGATTCTGGAGTCAGTTTAATGTGTGGCTTTGGGCAGCTGACTTGCCCCCGGTGAGCCTGAGATTGCCTTCCTATAATACTGGAAGTGATCACCTCTCAATTTCACACAGGAGTGTGGAAAAACTCAGTAAGGCCAGTATATGCAGTGCCAGACATACCCTAAATACTAATACATGGGAGGTGACATAATTGTAGGTTGTTCACAGCCCAGAGAAGTCCTGAAGCTGCCCTGTGATCACACAGCAAATACAGTGCTGGCTGCAGGTCCTGGAAGTCCGTCGTAGTGCTCTAATGAGGCTGTCCTTCCTGCTAGGCCTCCTTAAATCCCCCGCGGAGCTGGAGCCCGAGCCGGAACTCGAGGTGCTGCTGACCCCGGTGCTGGAGGCTGGCGACACAGACGAAGGCACTGTCACTCGACCCCTCAGTCCCACGAGGCTGCAGCCAGCGCTGCCACCCGAGGCGCAGTCGGTGCCCGAGCTGGAGGAGGTGGCTCGGGTGCTGGCAGAGATCCCTCGGCCCCTCAAACGCAGGGGCTCCATGGAGCAGAGCCCTGCCGTGGCCCTGCCCCCCACCCACAAGAAGCAGTACCAGCAGATCATCAGCCGCCTCTTCCACCGGCACGGCGGGCCAGGGCCTGGGGGGCCCGAGCCGGAGCTGTGCCCCATCACTGAGGGATCCGAGGGCCGGGCAGGGCCCCCCGCTCCTGCCCCACCAGCCCCCATGCCAGCCCCAGGCCCACCCCAGAGCAGCCCGCCAGAGCAGCCCCAGAGCATGGTGAGTCCCACAGGAGGACGCCGGGCTGTGTCTGCTGGTGTCTGGGTCCTGCTGCTCTAACGAGCAGCCTATGATGTACAGTGGCTTAAATGAGACAGATCTATTTTGAGTAAGAGTCCAGGAGTAGCAGCTGGGGTGGAGTCAGGACCCAGTCTCGGTCTTCCTGAGGCCCCTGTGCATTAGGGGCTGGCCTGCCTTCCTGGTCTAGGATGGCTCTCTCCCAGCCTGCATGCTGGCCAGGAAGGGAGAGGAAATAATAGAAAAGGTCCTTTCCCCTTGGGGCAGAATCTGGAATCGCACCCATCACTCTGTCCCTCCCACTGGGCTGGAAGCCAGCTGCAAGGGATGCTGGGAAATGTAGTCTTTAATGTAGCCAGTGCTGTGCTCCGAAAAGAGAGCAAGACCTGTGGAGGGGCATCCAGGAGTCTTGGCGCATGAATTATTTTGCACCTTTCCTCCAATGACCTGTTGTTTGTGCCCTGTCCTAGGCACTCTGTCAAGAATTTTATTTTATTTTATTTTAGTTTGTTTTTTGGTTTTTCTCCGGTACTGGGAACCGAACTCAGGACCTTGAGCTTGCCAGGCAGGCGCTTTTTGCCGCTGAGCTAAATCCCCAGCCCCTTATTTTATTTTATTTTATTTTTTTGTATTGGGGATTGAACCCAGAGCCTTTGCACTGAGCTATACCCAAACCTTTTTTTCTTTTTTTATTTAAATACTGAGACAAGATCTCTCAAAGTTGCCACATTCCCAAGGCTGGGGTTGAATCTGCACTCCTCCTGCCTGAGCCTCCCAGGGTGCTAGGATTACAGGCATGCATCACCAGGCTTGGCTCTGTGCCACTTGTCAGCTATGCAAACTTGGCCAGGTAACCTACTCCTCTGGGGCTTAGTCTCCTCATCTGTAAGATGGGTGTAAGAAAGCAGTAGCCTCTTCCTGGGATTGCCGTGCAGACTGAGTGTGTTAGTGGGCACTGAGCATGCTGCCTGGCACGTAGCTGCTGACGACCCATTGGTGGTGGGAAGGTGCTGCTGCTGAGCTTGGCTGGGGACAGGGCAGTCAAATGGAACAGTTCTGAGCACTGTGAGCGGAAAGCAAGGTACAAGTCTCAGAGAAGAGGTGGTGAGGTAGGTACCCTAGGCCTACCTGAGGGAAAGTATGGCAACTTGAAATGGGAGTTGTCACATTGTAGAATCACAAAGTTCCGGCCACAGAAAGACTTGACAAATCACAGAATTCGAGGATTAAGCTCGAGCCAGGTCAGGTGTACACCTGTAATCCTAGCTACTAAGAGGCTGAGGCAGGAAGATTGCAAGTTCCAGGCCAGCCTGGGCAACTTGGCAAGGCCCTATCTCAAGTAAAATTTGTAAGGGCTGGGGATAGCCGAGCGTGGTGGTGCAGGTTTGTAATCCCAGCACTCAGGAGGCTGAGGCAGGAAGATTGTCACAAGTTCAAGACAAACTTGGCCTACAAAGAGAGCCCAAGGCCAGCCTGAACTGTGTAGCAGAGCCTGTCTCAAAAAGACAAAGGGGGGGCACTGGGGATAACATAGTTCAGTAATGGAACATTTCCCTGGCATCCAGGAGGCCCTGAGTTGGATCCTTAGCACTGCAAAACAATAATAACAAAAAACCCTGAATGGGGCCGGGGATATAGCTCTGGCACAAGCACCTGCCTGGCAAGCTCAAGGTTCTGAGTTCGATCCCCGCTACCAAGAAAAAGAAAACTCTGAATGGTCTGGATCATTGGTTTCCACCATCATTGTCTTAAAGCCTCAGATCACTTTGCCACCACCTGGATGGCCTCCCAGCTTCCTCTCAGGACTCAAAATTCGGGCCCTTGGCTGCTACAGGAGCCCCACTTCTCGGAGAGCCAGGCAGCACTGCCTCAGTGGCCTAGGACTCCCGACCTCCCTCCGTGGCAGAGAACCCCAGCCCTGCTGGGTCTCCATGGTGATTGGGAGGGGCTGCCTCGCGGCCCCTAGGCTTGTGTCCCCCTCTGGGTCCCGAGTCTAAGGATCTCCCCAAGTCAGTGTCCCTGCCCTGTCCCACAGGAGATGCGCTCCGTGCTGCGGAAGGCGGGCTCCCCACGCAAGGCCCGCCGCGCGCGCCTCAACCCGCTGGTGCTGCTGCTGGACGCGGCACTGACCGGGGAGCTGGAGGTGGTGCAGCAGGCGGTGAAGGAGGTGAGGCCGCAAGCCGGGTGGGGGCAGGGGCGGCGGGCGCAGGGGCGCAGGGCTGAGCCTCCCCTCACGTCCCCCAGATGAACGACCCAAGCCAGCCCAACGAGGAGGGCATCACAGCCCTGCACAACGCCATCTGCGGTGCCAACTACGCCATCGTCGACTTCCTCATCGCCGCCGGCGCCAACGTCAACTCCCCCGACAGCCACGGCTGGTGAGCCCGGGTGGAGGGGGGGCTGCGAGGACGTCGCAGGGGGCCGGGGTCGGCGATGGCCTGTGGGCTGGGCATGCCGCTCACATGTCCCTCCTGCGCCCAGGACGCCCCTGCACTGCGCGGCGTCGTGCAACGACACGGCCATCTGCATGGCCCTGGTGCAGCATGGCGCAGCCATTTTCGCCACGACGATCAGTGACGGCGCCACTGCCATCGAGAAGTGCGACCCGTACCGGGAGGGCTATGCCGACTGCGCCACCTACCTGGCAGGTGCGGGGCGGGGCAGGGCTGGCCGGAGGGCCGCAGGGGCTGTACCGACCTAGGGGAGGCTCCTGGAGAAGAGGGCGGCAGAATGGACCGCATGTGGGGGAAGTGGGGGGCTTGGAGGTCCCAGCTGTGCCACCTCCCTGGTACCGGTGGGGAGCATCCCCACTGTGCCAAGACATGATGCTGTGGCCTGTCCAGGTGCCTGGCTACAGCACCTGTGCCCATAGGAGGGGCCAAGTAGGGGGACTGCGAGGACCGCACGGCACTCAGCCGCATGCCTGGAGATGCAAGCTGTAGCCTTGGCTGATGTTAAGGACCGTGGAGTGTAGGGATTCAACAACGTCCCAGAGGGCATAGAGGCAGGACATGGGGGCGCACTCCTGTAACCCCATCACTCTGGGAACCTGAGGAGGAAAGTTTGAAAGTTGAAACCTAGCCTGGAAACTTAGTGACTTACTAAGACCCTGTTTTTTAAAAAGCTCTGGGCCGGGCATGGTGGCGAATGCCTGTAATCACAGCACTTGGGAGGCTGAGGCAGGAGGATTGTCGCGAGTTTGAGACCAGCCTGAGCTACAAAGTGAGCTCAAGGCCAGCCTGAACTGCATAGCGAGACCCTGCCTCAAAAAGACAAAAAAACCCAAAACAAAACAAAACAAAAACTCTGGGACTGTAGCTCAGTGTGAAAGTCCTGGGTTCAATACCCAGTACCACAACAATGAATAGACACAGGCCGGGTGTGGTGGTGCATGCTTGTAATACCAGCACTTGGGAGGCTGAGGCAAGAGGATCATTGCAAGTTCCAGGCCAGCCGCAGCTACAAAGTGAGCTCAAGCCCAGCCGGAGCTGTATAGTGAGACCCTGTCTCAAAAAGAAAGAGAAAAAAATAGACACATATAAACAGTGCAGGAGGGAAGCGGAGAAAGGAGGCCACTGTCTCGCCTCTGAGCAAGTGGCCTAGCTTGGTGCACCTCAATGTCCATGACTGCTACAGATGGCACTCCCAGCCCACGCCAGTGCTGGCTCCTGTCCCCAGAGGCAGGTACCCGTATAGATGGCACAAATCCCAGGACTGGCCCTGTCCCCAGCGAGCCCTGCACTCCCAGGTCGGGCTCTCACCCCTGACCGCGTGTTTCAGACGTGGAGCACAGCATGGGGCTGATGCACAGCGGGACGGTGTATGCGCTCTGGGACTACAGCGCTGAGTTCGGGGATGAGCTGTCCTTCCGCGAGGGCGACTCTGTCACGGTGCTGCGGAGGGACGGGCAGGAGGAGACCGACTGGTGGTGGGCCGCGCTGCACGGACAGGAGGGCTACGTGCCGCGGAACTACTTCGGGGTGAGCCTGCCGGGTTTGGGGCAGCGCCGCGGGAAAAGAGGGAGGCGAGGGACGCCCATTATAGTGGGTAAAGGGGACCGGAAGGGTCCACTGTTGGTCACAGGGGGGAAAAGAAAAGACCATGTGGTAACAGGCCAAGGGAGACCCCCTTGCAGGGCTGGTACTGCTGCGTTTGTTATTTGATTCGTGCTCAGTCCGATGTTTTTATTGGGCTGGGGGTGGGGCTCAGTGGCAGAGCACTTGCCCAGCTGGCATGGCCCTGGCTTCTCTCCCCAGCAGTGGAAGAAAAAAAAATTATCACCCTTGATATTAATAGGGAGATTAGAGAATGTATTTTAGCCAAGGAGAGTGCTGAAAAACCCCATCTTATCCATGGGGGCAGTTAAAGAATTGTCTATGGAAGGCAGGGTGGAGAATGTTTTGTTACACAGCATTGGGATGCGGGGAAGAATTCATTACCATAGTCACAGCAGAAAGCTGGGTGTACAGGTAGGTACACCCACCTGTAATCCCAGCACTCAGGAGGCTGAGGTAGAAGGATCTCAAGTTCAAGGCCAGCCTGAAGTACCCTCCCTCCCCTCAAAATCAGTAGAACCCAGGCTGATTCGACTAGGTTGGGGAATGTTTCCATTATATTCCTAAGAGAGAATATTGCTTTAATTTGGGGGTGGGAGGAGGCGGGACCCAACCAGGCAGCCGTGGTGGCAGGGAGACTCACAATACTCCGCTTTATCAGTAGAGGTGCTGATTGGAATACTCCTTATGGTGCTTGGGGATGACCAGGGACTTGGGGATACTGGAGTGGATGGGAGGATGGAGCAGGCTGCCTCCTGGAGGGCTGGGGGCAGGATGAGGTTAGCAGTATTTGATGTCTGTCTGAAGATCGCCTTCCCTCAGCTCTTCCCCAGGGTGAAGTCCCAGCGGAATAAAGTCTAGCAGGACAGAAGTCGTCTCCCAGGGAGACAGAAGCACCACCTACCTGCTCTCCAGACCTCAGACCTGCCTCTCCATTTATGCTGCACCTCTCACTCTGCAGGCCTGGGGCCCTCACCACCACTTCCTGCTCCCCTGGAATCCCAGGGAGGAGAATCCCAGCCTTAAGTTTAGTGACCTGCCTTAGCCGTGGGAAGTCCAGGGAGTGGGGCTGGAATCTTTTTTTTTTTTTCTTTGTGGTGCTGGGGATCGAACACAGGACTTTCACACTGAGCTACATCCCCAGCCAGCCCTTTGTTTATTTTTTAATTTTGAGACAGAGTCTCGCTAAGTCACTACATTGCCCAGGCTGGGCTTGAACTTGCAGCCCTCCTGCCTCAGCTTCCCAGAGTGCTGGGATTATAGGCAGTTGCCACCATGCCCAGCTGGGCTGGAAATCTTTAGGGACAGGACACTCCCTACCTTTGTCAAATCAGATCCATCCAAAGTGCCTTCCACTCCTATTGCCAACAGCCCTGAGCCCTGGCCAGCCAATGTGCCATCCCAGGTGAACTTGGGGTAGGTGACCCCATCTCTTTGTTGCCCTGACAGTCACCTCTGACCCCGTATCTCCCAGCAGTCTTGGGGTCGGGGTGGCACACACTGACCTCTACTACTGTCCCTCTTCCTTCTCTCCCCAATGAAGTGCCTTCACACAGCGCTGGTTTTATGTGTATAACAAAATGGGGAAATTTTCCTTTTAAATAAAGGTAGTTTATTGACTTCTTGTTTGATCTTGACTCAATAAATGCTCATAGTGGTGTAATGTGGTGTGGGGTGTGTGTGTGTGTGTACTGGTCCCGGGGATGAATGCAGGATCTCATACCCACTAAACCTAGTGTTCTGCACTGAGCTACATCCCCAGCACCTGGCAACCCAACTAACTGCTTTCCTGAAGCAACTGTTCTCTAAGAGATTCCCCTGGGCACGGTCTAATCCTTCTTCTTTTTCATGCTTTGAATTCTTCTTCTGTGTCTCTTACTTTGCAGTATGTATTAGTTAGCTTTCATCACTATAACAAAATACTGGAGACCAGCTAATTTTTAGAAATTATTTACACCCACACAAACATCATGCAGTCAGAGAATAACTTGGGGTTATAATACTGGTTTAGTGTTGTCCTTTTGGACACATCTACCACTGGCCAGCCTCCAAATTCCCAGACACAGAATTCTGGGAGGAGATTAGCTTGCTAAGTTTATTGTAAGATGTCTGAAGTCATTGTGTTCTTTAAAAAAGAAAAAACTATTTAGCTCACACTTTGAGAAACTGAACATCCAAGGAGTACAGCTGTTCCCAGCCACATGGTTGGAGTCCCTGTGGAAAGAAAGGGTCCTATCTTTTGAAATCACAGCAATCCTCCTGCCTCAGCCTCCTGAGGGCTGGGATTAAAGGTGTGCACCACTATTCCCTGCAGAAAACCTCCTCTCTTAATGCAGGAAGCCAGAAGGCAATTTAAGGATCAGCTGCAGGCCATTATAACAACCCTCTGGTGAGAACCACCTTGACTCCTCCCTAAACCACGCCCCTGGTCCTAAGGGCCTCCTACTAGGCCCCACCTCTTAAAGGTGCCCTTTGCTCCTATATTACCTCCCTGAGGCCAAGCTTCCAACACTAGGATCCCTGAGGGACAAACCAGATCTGAATGACAGCATAGTACACTTCTGGGGATATTTAATCCAATAGTTGTGTCTGCTGGTTCTTATGGTTCCTTTCCTTGCATGTGTTCAAATTAATTAAGGGTTGTGAGATCGCTGTCAACAGGGTCAGATGTAGGCAAGTCAGGTGGCCTTGCAGAGGGTGTGGCCCTGCATAGTGACTTTCCTGTGTGTCTGCCTCACTTTCATCTTCTAGTTCATAAACTCTCTCCCTCTTTCTGGTGCTGGGCTTTGAATCCTGGGCCTTGCACATGAGCCTCTGAATATTCCAAATATTTCTGACAGACAGGAATGGTGGCGCACACCTGTAATCCCAGCACTTGGGAGGCTGAGGCAGGAGGATCTTTGCGAGTTCAAGACCAGCCTGGGCTACAAAGGGAGCTCAAAGCCATCCTGAACTGTGTAGCAAGACCTTATCTCAAAAAGACCAAAAAACAAAAAAAAAATCTGACAACCACCTTTTTCTTTAACATCTTTCTGAAATGTAAACCTGATCACATCTTTACTCTTCTGAGAACACATCCTTGACTCTCAGTGCCCTCAAAATCAAAACATTGAGCTCAAGCATGGTGGCACAGGCCTGTAATCCCAGCACTCAAGAGGCAGAGATAGAAGGAACACCTCGAGTTCAAGGTGAGCCTGGGCCACATAGTGAGTTGAAAGCCAGCCTGAACTATATAGTGAGAACCTGTTTCAAAAAACCAAAAAAGAAAACCAAGTGTCTAAACGTTAAAAAAAAAAAAAAACAGCTTTATTAAACAAAAAATCTGCATACCACACCATTTAAAAACTTAGCATGAAAGATTCAATAGACCCTAGCACATAGAGTTGTAGAGACACAACTACAATCAACCTTAGGTCATTTTTGCCATCCCAAATCAAAACACCCTGCCTACCAGCCATCATCTCCCAAACCCTCCTCCCTAAATCTAGGTAACCACTGAGCTCCTCTTTATCTTCATAGATTTTCCTATTCTGGGAATTTTTTTTTTTCTTTCAAAATAGACCTTGCTCACAACAATAATAAAGACGTTAACATATCCAAAGAAGTACAGACTAGAGTGAAACCAGAGACCAAGAAGAGAAACAGAATATAATTACTTTTTTCTTCTCTTTTCTCTCTGTCCTCTTTCCTATTAAATTTTTCACATAAGGGAAGCCATATGATGTAGAGCTCACGTGCCTGATTTACTTCACTTAACATTATTACCTCAAAGTGCATCTAAGTCTAAATCTAAACTTCTTATATTTATTTATTTGGGGGGGGCTTTTTTTTCCAAATTTTTTTTTATTTATTTATTTTTTTTGGTACTGGGAATCAAACTTAGGACCTTGCACTTGCCAGGCAGGTGCTTGTGCGGCTGAGCTATATCCCTAGACCTATTTTTTGGCTTTTTGAGACAGGGTCTCGCTATGCAGTTCAGGCTGGCCTTGAGCTCACTTTGTACCAGTCTGGGCTGGTCTTGAATTTGCAAAGATCTTCCTGCCTCAGCCTCCTGAAGGCTAGGATTACAGGTGTGCATGACCACATCCGGCCTTGTTTGTTTGTTTTTGACACAGGGTCTCGCTATGTAGTTCAGACTAGCTTTGAACTCACTGTGTAGCCCAGGCTGGCCTTGAACTCTTAATGATCCTCCAGCCTCAGCCTCATTACAGGTATGTGCCAGTACACCCAGTAGGCGCTCACTAAATGAGAGGAGATATTTATAAATTCTCCTAAATCTAGGAGACAACACTTTTTTATAAATGCATGTTTTAATGAAGCAAATCCGTCGTTAACTCGAGTGCTCCAAAGGGGTTCCCAATTTCCCTGTCATTCTCCCTTGGAGTCTATTCACTACTCAACGTAGGCAGACTGAGGAATATTTAATGCTGATGAATTGGATCGATTATCTCGGCTCTCTTCCTTGCATGTTTGTTTCTTACTCCTCGGTGATCCTCAGCACGGCCTCCAGCACCGCCTTTCCCTGGAAACCGCCCTTGCGTCTCTGTGCGCAAGCGCAATACTCCGAGTGGCTCCGCCCCGACGGAGTGACGGGCAGGATTGGCCAATGGCATCGTGCGGAAGGTGGAGCAGCTCCTCGGGAACGCCCATATCCCTGCCCCCCACTGAATATTCATAAAGGGCTAGCAGTGGGAGCTGCACGCCGCGGCCGCCGCCATGAAGTGAGGAGGGGGCCGTGGGAGACTGGGAGGGCGGCGGGGCTCTGGAAGGTGGGGGAACGGGTGGGCGAGCCTGGGGCCTCGGCGCAGCGAGGGGAGGCTGAAGGGGTGGGGCAAGAATGCTGGCCGGAGCAGAGAGGCGGCAACTGGACGGAAGCGGGGAGACGCCGCCGGGGAGACCCGAAGTGGCTCCTGGGGAGCTTGGGGACGTCGGGCTCGGCGGCGGAGGGCTTGGAGGCCGTGGAGGGGCGGAGGGGACCGGACTGACTCGCAGCCCCACGCCAGGCTCAACGTGGACGGGCTGCTGGTCTACTTCCCGTACGACTACATCTACCCGGAGCAGTTCTCCTACATGCTGGAGCTCAAGCGCACGCTGGACGCCAAGGTGGGGGCCGGGGCCGCGCTGCCCGCCGAACAGGTGGCACAGCCTGGCGGGGGTCTGAAGCGGAGACTGCGGCACGGCTGGGTTTTAAAAGTCTGAGGCCCTGGAGCTGGGTATGGGGGTGCATACCTCTAATAGCAGTTTCGGAGGCTGAGGCAGGAGGATCGCCAAGTTCAAGATCAGCCTGGGCGTTTTAGCGCCTTAGTGAGTCTGTGTTGCACAATTTAAAACAAAACAAAACAACAACAACAACAAAAACCAAAACAACCCTTTCGCTGTAGCTCTGGGTTCAATCCCCCACAGTGAGGAAAAAAAAAAAAAATAACAATAAAAAGAGGGTAAAGGGGGCCACCGATCCTGCCTCCGGAATCCAGGACTCCAAAATCTCCTGTTATCCAAAATAATGGCCAATAATAGCAGCAGCAAACCTTTATCCAAGATCCAGTCTCCCAGTGCCTAGGAATGTGTAGGCTTTATAGAGTCTCCTATAGGGCGTGGTATCCTGGAGCCACAGATTCCTAGCTGTGCACCCTTAGGCAAATCACTTAACCTTTAATGCGTAGAGTTTGTACAGTAGGGGCTCTGCCCTAGCGTGGGAGCAGACCCTGGGTTCCATCCCCAGCACCATTTTTAAAAATGGAAGAAAGAAAGAAAAGCTGGGGGATAGTGACAAGCACCTACTCTATAACTTGTGAGGGTCATGCAGCTTCATACAGGAAAATCAGCAGTTCTCAGCTGGGGGTGATTTTGATGGCCAAGGATGTGTACCAGGGGCCAGAGATATGGTTGTCACACCAGTGCAGGGGCAGGGCGCCTGGAAGCTGCTAAGTAGGTACAGGCTGTAGACTCTACTAACAACCTGCTGTGTACAGTCCCCCTCCAAAACCACATTTTCTGTCCTCAATTGTCAAGAGAGCTGAGGCTGAAAGACCCTGACATAAACGGCACTAAACACAGTTCTGTGGAAGTTCTTTTTTTAGTACTGGGGATTGGACCCTGGGCCTCACACTGAGCTACATCCCCAGCCCTTTTTTTAAATTTGGGACA